TTCTCGAGAGAATTAGTTGGTTCTTATTTTTCAAAAAAGATTCATAAATAAGAAGAAGCACACTCGGTCATTGGCAGAAAGCATTTGCACATGCTGCTTTCAAAATTACCTTCATAAATTGATAAATCGAATGTCGCGGAATTATTACTGACGATGATATTCGTTTTTGACATAATAGTTTTCTGCAAGTTCATTCTGCACCAATCTATTTTTTATTTCTCTATGAATTATTAATAATGTTGCGAATATTTTCTCTTACGATATCTTTTTCCTCTCGAGTCTTCCTAATATTACATTATTTTACCCTCATTTCAATCTCTTTTTCATTCCTTTCCTTATTCTTAACCGAGTTGCTCTTAATAATTACCACACCGTTCGTAAACTTGCGCTCGTAAGAAAACTTAATTAACATCCGAGATGCGTGTTGATGTAAAAATTGGACGGGCTGCTCGCTACGCTTTATGACGCTTTTACCGTCCGAACAACTATTACACCGTTGCCGTAGAAATCGACAAAGTGGGCCATTCGTACGCGCTACAATTGACGCAAAAGGCGCCAAATGGGAGTTTACGAGCAGTCGTCGCGATTAGTCAAGAGAAGACAATAAGGTCGCGATATATGAAAATATATGAAAACGGTCGCGTCGGATGAAAACATCCCTTTACGGTCTGATCAGCTGGTTTTGGCTGGAGAGGCCGGTCGGATTTTCGCGGGGCTTCGTCGTCGAAAGCTCTTCGTCTCCAACAACTTGCAGGACGATGCATTTGCCCACCTTTAATGAGATTGCCATCTAGTATCGCCTCGCTAAGCCAATTTACCCTGGGCGTCGCACGACGCTTAGATAATTTATCGCGACACGAAGACTTCATCCCCTTCGTACCCCTTCGCTCTTGGTCGCGCGCGAGGAGCTCGCGGAATTTGCCGGATAAAGCGGCTGTCTCAAGTTCTGCAATATTCATTAAGGATTTTGCGGCGTTTCCCTTCAGTAGCGGGTCAGAATAACGGAGAACGGATGAAGCAGCGTTAACCAGCCCAGAAATAACCAAGCGGTAGTTACAACGATCTATCATTAAAGCCGCGCGCCGCCGAGCAATGAGCAATAATTTCGCGGGGGATATTTAGAAACATAATTGTATCGCTCGTGCTCAACCGTAACCGAATAGTTGATACTTGAGAGGAGCCGCGCTGGCTATGAATTCGTCATTAATAGCTAAATGCGTCCGTGGAAATTCTCCCGGCGAATGGCAGGGTCAAAAATCTCGGTCAAAAGACAATGTCATCACCTGCACGCCGCAAAGCTCTCTCTCTCACAGAGAGATTTCATCTCATTATCTCGTATGCGCAATAATTAATTCTCTATCTTGCGAGAAGCGGATATGTGTGTTGATGCCGCACGCGCTTCCCTCTCGCTGCGATGAGAGACACCGACACACCCACACACGTTAAAGGAACTCGCGTAATTTCCAGCATGAATTTTGCGTCAGATGCGAAGGGAATTCCGTATTCCGTGTGAGAATTAAAAAATCCACCGGAGGGAAGAAAATAAAATTTTACTTTCATTAATCTCCGCGCTCTCTTTCATCCCCTTCGAATTAATTTTAGCCGAACGTAACTTTCGCAATTCATTTAACTTTAAGCGAGATCCTGTAATTAGGTTTCATCTTTAATTGTAGCGGTAAAAAAAAGAGAGAATCGTCTCGTACAAACGTTGAATATATATCCCATACAGCATAGAACATTGTTGTAACATTACAGCAATATTGCAGCAACATTGCAATATTGCCGCAATATTTCTGCAACAATAATAATGTTACATTAATAATATAATAATATAATATTAATAATGTTAATAATAATATGATATTAATAATAATGTAATACATTGTTCTAACATTACAGCAATATTGCAGCAATGTTACAACAATGTTCTGTGCTGTACGGGATACATCCTAGCGGGCTCTCGACGTCGCGGCGCCTTCGGTGACGATCGCATTTGTCTCGGGCCGGATATTACGTCACCGATCGTCATTAATAACCTCGCGGACCGCCTTGACCCGGCCTATCGATATATCATCGTGCTCGATACGCTATGATATAATCCCATCGTAAATTTGCCGCTGGGAAAAAAGCAGAGAGCGAGAAGGAGAGAGGGAGGGAGGCAGGGAGGGGGAGCGAGGGGGAGGGGAAAGTGCGCGGATCCTTCTTCCTGTCTTTCGAATATCAAAATTCATGGCGTGGATCCGCCAGATTTGCAACATTCATCGGCGATACGTGTCTCTTCCGAAACGCGAGCGCATGCACACTTTTACCATAATTTACGGCGCGAGGCGCTGCCCCATATGTTCCCGGGGCTGTGAATTACGTACCGCTAGTCCGTGTGAGCGCTACGTAAACGTATACACGCGTGTACACACGGGTGTGTGTGTGTGTTTGTGTTTGTGTGTGTGTGTGTGTGTGTGTGTGTGTGTGTGTGTGTGGGAAACCGTGCGTATACGTGTAAACGCGAGGAATTCGCGCCGGGTTCGGGTGTGCGGTGCCTGGTAATGGAGTCCATATCTTCAAAATTTAACCTGAAAGCTTAGTACATTCGCGGAACACAGAAGGGACGCTCGTACAACGGTTTATCACGCATGCGGATGGATATATATGTGTTATTGACCGGCCGAAAGGACAGCCGGAGCGATTTTACGGCTTGGATTTCTCGTCTGATCGTCCACGAAAGTCAACCCCTTGCTATGCAAAAGGTTCGTACTACATTTATATGCTTCAATAGGGTCGATTCGAGACCCATTACGCGATCGATATATCTGTGTTTAACTCGCGATTTTATCATCGATGCTCTTTTTCTTTAAATAATCTCTTAAAATTCAGGATATTACTTGAACGTGCACCTCGCGTCGCGAGCAGACGTTACGAGATCCTCTGCCTATCCGACGTAATTAGAACGTAATATCTCATGTTTAATCGCAGCTGTTGCCGCTTGCTTCTTCGCGAACAGCGACATGCATGTATCAAAGGCCCGTGAAAACGCGTTTAGCTCGGCGAGGCAAGAGAAGGAGTGAATACCCCATCTCTCTCTTTCTCACCCCCTTCATATAACCGTATAATAAATCTTCTGGCCGACCGAGTTTCTCGTAATCCAATTAAGATTTTCGCGACTCTGTCCTCATCCTTTCACATCAATTACGGTAAACCTGGCGGACGCCTAAATTGCGAGCGATTTGCCGTTGAAGTCGTCGCGCGCAGGTTTTTCCCGACGACAATGTGGAGCCGAGGAACGCTTTTTGCTGGAAGAGCCTTGGGCTTCCTCGTCACAGTCATGGCCCTTGTTAGAAAGGGGTTAAATCGCGCTATATATATATACATCGGAGGGGAATGGTCGACGGCGACGAGTGATCGATCGTCGAAGGACCGGGGGAGGTTCGTCGTTCACACGCATGTCATGTGTACGTGTTCGTGTAGATGCGACATATAATCTCTACGCAATCTACGTGCGCAAAACGTGGAAATAACAGAAACGATCGTATCGAAAAAGAGGGACCTGTGTCCTGAAGCGGAATCGGGTGTTGTCGATATAAACGAATGTATTTCATGTTTAGTTGATATTAGGTAATTTTCAGAGATGTTCTATCATTATTTCTACCGACAATATAACTATTATTATAATCTTTAATTTGGAGACCTTTGAATGTTATCAGAATATTCTCCACGTGTGCATCTCTTAAAATTAAAATTGTCAAACTCGACTTTTTTGCTCAATATTATTATTTTAATCATTAATATAATTATTATATTAATATAATTATTTATTCATTTTATACACATATTTTTATATGCAACGTTATACAGAGTGTTTCTTAATAAGTGCGAAAAATTTTAGGAGATGATTTTTAAGGCGAAAATTAAGGGAGGTTTTCATACAAACATATACTCGTACATTCCTCTCTGTGGAGTTACACTTCTTCAAAAATGGGAGAAAAATTAGGTTTTATTATAATTTTGTTTTTGTCCCAATTCTCCCAACATTTACTCTAATTTTATTTTTATTTTAAAATTTAACTTCTCGTAATTCGAAACCTATGCTGTTTAGTATTGTACTGTGCGCGATAACATATTTTATTTTTTTTTGAAAACTACTCATTTTATAAAAATAAAAGAAATGAAAAAGCTTTCAAATAAATCAAACTTTTTAATGCATATTTTTAGATCATATTTCGGCTCTAAAAAGTTCTAATAAAAAATTGAAGAATTGCTAGTTTCATCCTCTTATAACAATTTTTGGGAGGTTGAAGAAAATATTAATAAATAACCTTTTTACTAGTAGAAAATATCACCTAATTTCATTTCTTTAACTTGTTCCAAATTTGAAAAAAAAAATTAATTTTTACTTCCATTTTTGGAGCAGTGTAACTTCATAGGGAGGGATGTAGGAGTATATATTTATATGAAAAACCTTTCTTAATTTTCGACAAAGAATCATCTCCTAAAATTTTTCGCACTTATTAAGAAACATCTTGTATAATTCACATTTATAGGAAAAATATTATATAGCAATATAGCAATATAACAAGGAAAATAGATATCTTTGACACTTGTATAATTTAGGAGACGCTAGATTATTTACGTGACCTAAAAGTTTGAGAAATCGTACATTTTCATTTAATCAAATAACTTTTCGAAACTGATTTCTCTTAATTGAAATTGACACATCTAAATCTTTCTTCAACTTCAATATTAAATATCTCGATAATTAAATATCCTACGAAAATTCTTTCCGAGGCCAACTAAAGATAAGATAATTTCATTATATGAAGTATCTGCAAATGTATATTTTCCGATTGAAGTAAATATTCTAGATTCAATCTTCCCCGAGTATCGTTACCGGTGTTTGTTCGGAGAAGAGGTAGTTAAGAGACCAACGAGAGGACAACCGCGTCGGGGGGGTCCGTATTGATTAAGGGAGCCTGTAGCTACGTACAAAACACATTGCTTATACTTGCCTTCGGTGACGAAGACGAAGATCGATGCCGGCTTGGTGTTGGAGGCGCTGCACGTGTAATTGCCCGTGTCGGACTCGACCGCCTGGCGAATCGTCAGCCGGCTCTGAGTTGGTCCTGGATCGGTTTGTACGGTCACGCTGCCGCGCGTGGTATCGTAGTTTATCATCCGGTTATTGTGATACCAGAACACGTATTGCGGCGGCGTCGGGCTCTGGAGCAGATAGAAGAAGAATGGCGCCGGTTGACAAGCATGAGATTTAACGTGCGGATTTTTCCGAGCACAAAGGGCAGAATCCGCGGGGTCCGCGGACCGTGACATTCGTTATGAGAATTTCTTTCGGCAAGATAATGCGCCTTTGTGTTTGGAACCATAAGCGCCGACGGGGTTTCCCTTTGCGCGATCTTGCTAATGTTCCCGTTCGCTTATTTTTTAATAGGTATTTCAAAAAGTTTTAGAGAGTCTCGTCTTTTAATCGTCTCGTCTTTATATTTACAAGATTTATATTTGACCGAATTAATTTAATTATGTAATTAGTATTTTTACAATATTTTATTTTACACATCTTATTCGTTTTATTTTGGAAGCAATGAAAATACAAAAGAGAATAAATATTTAAAAATCTTTTGCAAACTTTATGGCATCTCAAAATTAGTTCACAATGACTGTATAAGAATTAACAATTATTTAAATATAAGCAAATGAATCAAAATCTTTCAATGAATTTTATTGGTAGAAATTCAAAGAAATTTAATATTTTAAATAACATTTGAATAGGAAAGATGCAGAAATAATTCACATTAATATTAAAAAGCATCTCCCTAATCAAATTTTTGTTGAGAAAAACGAATCTATTTTCTATGCTCCCTCTTATATGACATCTTCAGTATTTTTTCAAGTAATTAAATATTATATAAATATTATATTATATATAAATATTATATAAAAATATTATATAAGTATTATATAAATATTATATATTAATATTATATTAATATTATATGAATATTATATAAATATTATATAAATTAATAATAATATAAATTAATAATATATATTTATATAATATTAATATAATAATATTATATAAATATTATATATTAATTTGTAAGAAATTAATATTAGCTTTCGCAAGGAGAAAAGGTTGTAAAAATGCGAAATTACATAATACGTGGGGGTGAATGAACGCGCGCAATTCAGCCACGAGCGATGAGAGTCCATCAACTATTTATTATAACCCCGGAAGCACCGTTTACAACGATTCTGTTGTGCCGTAGAATACAGGAAGAATAGATGCGTGAAACGGTGCGTTGTTAAGACACTCGCAAATTTCCAGCTTTAACGTCGTCGAGAATTTTGCAATGCGGAATTTTGCCATGCGAAATAAGAGGCTAGCCTCAAAGAACTCGTTTTAATATACCTTATTTATTATTCACTTGCCAATATCGTTGTTTCTTAAAATGTTACCTTAATTTTGCGTGCAATTATTTTAATATCCAGCGTATCGTTGAAAAAGAAAAAAATTATGTATATATTTTTTGAGATTCTAAAGAGAAATAATGACGTGTAAACATAATTATAAACATCATAAATATAGTCTCGTTTCGCGTTTAAATTTCGGAGAAAAGTTGTCGAAATGCACAGACGTTTTTGCGATATTTGCCAATACTTAATTATATTTGAACGTAAGATTGGTTTCGTTTTGCGAATTAGAGTACGTCAAATTTAGCGTGTGCATCTTACGGCACATAAATTTCCGTCCAATGTAGCCGCGGGATCAGATATGCGGGATGCTGCTCGTCATCCGTTTATTATAACGCCGGATACGCGTATATTGTGGCGGCGGTGTCAAGCCGCAAAGCGGACGAAGAATAGACGTGCGAAACCGTATGCAGCCAAGTGCGGGATACCCAAGGATTTTCAGCTTCATGGATTTCGCACGGTAAAGCGAGGTCGGAGAGGTCACGCATCCCCCTATGCTAAATGCTCTCGTTCTTTTGTTCCGTTTAATGTTCCCTAAGCCGTCGGTATAAATGTCGTCGCGCGATGTACTGCGCCTATAAAGCTAAGTACCCATCAGAGAAACGTTTCTTTACTATCATCGATAGAAGAAGAATATTGGAAAATTAATTAAATTAAGATTTAGAAAAATTAAGGGAAAATTAATTAAATTAAAATTGAGAAAAATAAATACTTGGAAAAATAAAGGGAAAAAGAAACTGAAAGGAAGAACTTTGAATATGTATATCTTAAGTCGTCAATCTCAAATTGAACTATGATAAGGATATAATATAATACTTGTCAAAAATATAATTTTTAAGCAACCATGTTTTGTACAATCTCCTAGAATAAAATATAATTTACAGTGATATATAAATTATATTTGAACAAGTTTTGTCGCATTTATTATAATTTTTTAAAATAATTTATGAATTATAGATTCCTGTTATTCTTTTTTATTCAAGTGTATAATATATGTGTATCAAAAATTTCTTTTAATTCCTGAAAGATATAGCAAATTGTCAATCTCAAACTGAACATGAAAAGAAATAATTAATACATTTGTCAAAAATATTAAGCAACCACGTGTTGTACAGTCTCTTAATTAGAATGAAATATAATTTACAGCAACATATAAATTATATTGGGAGCTTTGTTACGTTTATCAACTTTTTAAAATAATTTATAAAATGATAAATTTTTATTTCAATAACATAAATAAAAAATTGCTTTTAATTGTTGGAATTCTTACTTCAGCAAATTAATATGTAATTAACTCGGTAATGTTGCGAGCTTTTTGAAATATTATCGTCGATTTTATGCCGCCAGAGACGAATAAATCCCTCCCGAGGCGTTGTATGCGCAATTCACTTTGTGCTTTTAGGGATTCATATAAATTACTCCATTGTTCTCGCGAGACGACAAAGTGGAGTTTCAACGAGGTAATGCGAATTACACGGCAGAAGAAAGCGAATTGTATCAAACAAGTAATACAAACTATTAACACCGGCGCTAATTACGCCGCTACTTATCCTGCTAGTATGCATAAAGCGCATGCATAATGTAAGAAGGACGATAGTTCCGTTATATGAATGAGAATTACACTGACGTCAATAAAACCATTTCAAACATCTGATTGTAAGCGAATCCGCTCTTGCATAAATTTGCATTACATCACAATGATGTAACAGATGATTTGTAAACAATAAAATAATTGAAATCAATATTATATTGATTAAAAAAAAATACATATATATATAATTGATATATTGATAGCGAAATTAACATAAATATCATACACACATACATATCATAGTTCAGTTTTGTTAAATTCATATGATATTGTGTACATTTAACAAATTCAATTTAATCAATATGATTTCATATTTATAGTTGGAAACAGGTAGTGTTTGTCAATTTGGAATGCCAATAGGCTTTTACGCGTCATATTATTGTAAAACACTATGACAATTGGCGAGAAATAAACCGGCAAACCGTCAGATCGTTTGTCAATTTCTTAATGATACTCGTATTTAATATTATACATCAAACGGCTGCAAACGTTGCGAGAATTAAACTTGGAAAGCTCTAAAATAGAAACAGATATGTAAACTGTCAATAGTCGCAGTCACATCAAGTATCCCTCGCAACGATGTTTTAAGAGGATTTTATCCTTCTTTTCGTGTGGTTTTTATATCGTTCAATAAACCGGACCGACGATGTTGCGGGAATTATGTCGTTGCAAGCTTAGGAAAGACTTAAAGGCACGTAATGTCGAACATCGGGCACAAAGTGGAAACGGACGAATTACGGCGGACAAGTAGAACGAAGTGTGACGAACGCATCCAGCTCTTCCCATCCTCTCTCTTTCGAGATGACGAAGTTTACTTCCGCTTTGCGTCGGCGTCTGCAGAAATGCGAAATGCGTAGGTAAAGGACGAACGCGATGCAAATCTGGTCGAGCAGCAGCGTCCGCTTTCATCGTCTCAATTTAATCTTGCAGCTAATTGCAGCGGATTTGCAACCAAATTCGATTTATGCGCGCCTGTCGAGACGCTCGACTCGCAAAAGGGATTTTTATGCCCGTCCATCCTTGCAACAGATCATTTCAAATTCATGTCTAAGAGAAATTGGCATTTCATATATCGAAAAAAAAAATTGTTACCGTTCTGTATATTTGTTGCAAAAAATTTTACACAGCTCCGTCTGTTCCTCGAAGGGGATTAATTGTCGCGTTGGAGGCGGCGTCTTAAAGAGACATAGCCTCCGAAAACGTCGAATTTCAGTTCCGATGCTGTTCTGATATTGGAAAGGGATAAATAAAACGTCTTTTACGATCTACGATCTGACTCGAGAGAATTTTCACGGAGAGAAATATCTTGGACATGTTTCGGATCTTGTGACATTTATGGAAAAAAGTAATGTGTATGTATATCGCAAGTCGTGAATTGACTGTAACAAACGTATAAATAAGTGTCCTTATTTAAAACTGTTGCCTTTATAACAATTCCAGACGATATACACGATTAATATTTTTTAAAGAGTTATTTTTTCGAAGCGGATCAGTAATATTTGACATGTGATGGAATATTATAATAAGATAGAAATCTCTGATGGCATATATGTCACGACGTATTTTGACCTAAAATGATCTATCTTTCGATGCCGAAAATACGGAGAAAAACGGACGATCAATTACGATTATTGTTAGTAAAAATCTAACTTTTCGTCATCTCGAAAGAGAGAGGATGGGAAGAGCTGGATGCGTTCGTCACACTTCGTTCTACTTGTCCGCCGTAATTCGTCCGTTTCCACTTTGTGCCCGATGATATAATTCATATATAATCGTAATTTTTTATAAATATTAATTTTATATTAATTTGTTTTTTAATACATTAATATAAAATTAATTAATATAAAATCAATTACTTTTTTTATAAATATTAATTTTATATATTTTTTAATGATATAAAATTCATATATAATCGTAATTTTTTTTAATAAATATATATATAAATATTATTTTTATATACATAACATTATTTTTATATACATTTTTATATACATAAATATTATTTTTATATTAATTTATTTTTTAATAAATTAGTATAAAGTTATTAATATGAAATCAATTACTTTTATAAATATTAATTTTATATATTTTTTTCAATGATATAATTCACATATAATCATAATTTTTTAAATAAATTTAT